TGCTAGACACTTTCTTCCTCCGGATTCTATTCTTTATCTCTATAAATCTCAAATCTGTCCTTGTATGGAATACTGTTGCCAGATCTGGAGTGGATCTTCCAATGATGTCCTTTCTCTTATAGACAAAGTTCAAAAACGCATTGTAAACATAGTTGGATCTGCTCTTGCAGCCAACCTCCAACCATTATCACATCGCAATAATGTTGCTTCTCTTTGTCTTTTTTACAAATACTATAATGGGCACTGCTCTAAAAAGCTTGTGTGTCTTGTGCTATCTACTAAAATTCATTCTTGTGTTATTTGTCATTCAATTAAGTCTCATTCTTTTACTGTGACTGTTTCTAAATGCTCCAAAAATTCTTATTGATCTAGTTTTTTCCTTTAAACATCAATTCTTTGGAATTCGCTTTGTTCATCTTGTTTTCCTGATTTATATAATCTTGCTCTATAAATTTCGTCTTTTTCTCTTCCAGTCTAACTCTAATAGTGATTGCTTACAGTCTTGTTGGAAACAAAGATGTTAAAAAAAAAAAAAAAAAGCTAGTAGCATTTTCTTTTTAAAATTAAAATAAAAAGTGTTCCTCTAAAACTGTATTTTTTTTTTAAAGTTTTCTTTTCATAGTAAAAAAAACTAAAAGAGTTTTTCTAATATTTTTAAATTAATGGTTTGACTCTGATTTAGGTCCAAGTATTTGTTTACCAATACTGATTCCATGAAAAAGATTACACAATTTAAAGTTTTAGGATTTTGAATTTTCAAAATTTTAATAATTAGTTAATTTATCGGTATCAGCATTGGTATCCATCGGTATCGGCATTGAGTGCTATCGATACATCACTAGACTGTAGACTTGCTTAAGCAACAAAACATTTTACCATTGCGATAACTCCATCACAAAGACTTTTACCATGTGATGTTGCAAAAAAGTGCTACTCTGCAGTAATGTTAAAATACTGTTTATGGTTGCATACGTTAATAATATTTTTGTAATTTTTATATTACAATCCATCACTAAAAAAGATGTATTCAAATAATTGTAATTGTTTACGATTATCAATAACATTATTGATAAAGCAATGAACAGCACCTATTTTATGTTTCAAATGATCTGATATAACTTTGACTATCAAGTTTTTTATCTTTTAGAAAATAAACAACTAAGGGGTGCAAAGTTGTTTGGCTTTTATTCCAGTGAAAACCTCACATTGCACCCTGTATTAGAAAACTATAGTTTTATGCAAAGCCAAGAAGTTAGAATATATGTTTGAAGTAGGTGGTTTACTTTTTGATATAAAATAATGCTATCATAAATTATCTAACTGTTCATAAATCATTTCAATAAATTCCTCTCAAGTCACTGGTGTTAACGTACATTGGAAATTTGATTTTTGCCATTGATAAAAATTAACTTTAAACTGTTAACTTCAAAAGCTCTTGTAATCAATTATTCCTAGAATTTTCTGTACACAAAGCTTTGCTATTAAACCATTATAACAATGGTACTGACAAACTGCATGCAGACCAAAAATACACCTTTTGGGTCACAAAGTTTTAAAAATCTAACTTTAAAATAATTGTTTTACTTGTAAATTCAATATGAAGTTCTTTCATATTGAATAAATAAAGTTATTTTTGGATGGGTTGCTTTATATTATCTACTTTAACTGAAACAAACTCTTCCCTGGACAAAAATTGAATATTCATCCCATTGATAGAATTAAACAACCTCTGCAGTTACATCTTTGCTTAGTTTTCTACTCAATTTTGGAGAAATTTTCAACGATTCATTTTGTTTTCTTAAATTTCTTACTTGTATTACAGATCTTTTTGAAGTAAAAAAATACTGCTGAGTTTTCTCTATTAATTAATTGTCTGGAGTGAGTGTAAGAAGTGTGGTTTTTTTATTTTGACAATTTTTGTCAAATTTTGCCTCGACTTAATTTATGATGTTGTCTTTTGTTTGTTTTTATTAAACATTTGTTTGAAGCGGTTTCAATATCATCAAGTGCAGCTCTACACCTAATACATTAGCAACAACCTTTTGAGAGCTGTTTTGTTATCGACTTTTTTTGTTAACCTTTTGAGAGCTGTTTTGTTATCGACTTTTTTTGTTAACCTTTTGAGAGCTGTTTTGTTATCAACTTTTTTTGTTAACCTTTTGAGAGCTGTTTTGTTATCAACTTTTTTTGTTAACCTTTTGAGAGCTGTTTTGTTATCGACTTTTTTTGTTAACCTTTTGAGAGCTGTTTTGTTATCAACTTTTTTTGTTAACCTTTTGAGAGCTGTTTTGTTATCGACTTTTTTTGTTAACCTTTTGAGAGCTGTTTTGTTATCAACTTTTTTTGTTAACCTTTTGAGAGCTGTTTTGTTATCGACTTTTTTTGTTAACCTTTGAGAGCTGTTTTGTTATCGACTTTACACTTTCCATATGCAACTCTATCTTTTATTGAAACAAGTTTGAGAGCTGAACATCTAAAATTTGCAATACTCTAAATAAAATCTTATCTTAATGTGAGACTGTCAACATAAATTTCTTTTTTCTGAGGTTCATTTTCTTTTATATTATAATGTTTGCAATGCAATGTTTTTCTGCAATTAGTAAAGATTTTTTGAACAGTTATTCAACCAAAATCTTGGGCAATAACTCTCAAGAGAACCTATAAAATAAAAGTTACTTATTATTTAATATTTTTTAATAATTACTTATTAGCAAATATTTTTGCATTAAATTAAAGATATTACTTTAAATATTAAAACTTACTTTTCACTTTTTTTTTAAAGATTTACAATAATACCTTCAATGTTCGTTCTCATATCTCGACAAGTAAACTTTCTCATGAGAGTTACAAATAAAATCTATGGGGTTTACTTTGGTTCTCAAAGAAAGAAGCTCTTGGTTTAGTTTAGACCTAAACTAAACCAAGAGCTTCTTGCTAAGAGCTAAACTAAACCAGCTTTTTATATTATTTACTTTTTAAGAAACTTGCTAAATTTAAAATGATAGAACTGTTCATTAAATAGTTTATCAATACAAAAGGGAGAGAGCTCAGGCATTCTATTCATCATTTATTAGTTCTAAAAAACAATAAGAATTTATTTGGTTTTATTAGTAGTTTTTAAATTGACATATCAGTATTACAAATTTTAACAAAACAATTTTTTTCAAACAAAAAATTAAAGTTTTTATGGAAAATTTACCTGACTTTTAAAGACTATCTTTTAGAATTTTAAATTAATTAATTTTTAATTAAGCCCATTAATTTTTTTTTTTGTTTTTATTAATTAATACTCTTCGAGTGATGGCTATAGAAATTTTTAGAAAAAAAAAGATGCCATCTTAGGTAACAGATACTTTGCATGGTGGATCAATTTTAAAAAATCTTGATCCGTCTCATTTTGATGACTTTTAAATGCAGCTCTTTAATAAACTATTTTTTATCTAATTTTTTTTTTATATTTACTCACCACGTGCAGATCAACATGCAATTTGGTTTGCATTAAAATTAAAATAAGGCTTTAAGATTGAAATTAATAAAATCACAAAAAATTTCAATTTCGAAACAAAAATATCAACTTTAGCCCGCCATTATGGAAAAAAGTAAGGTGCCAAATTTTTTTATTTTTTATTGTATCCATGGCAAACTTGCTTTTAACAATCTTAAAACAATTGAAGTATAAAGCCAACCTGTTCAAATGTTATTACCTGTTTAAATCGATTTAAAAAAAACCTTTTTGCGAGTATAGTGAAATTTCATGCAAAATAGCCCACTACATATTTCTTTTCTGATGAGTCTTTATTGATGAAACACAGTGTTAAATGAGAAAAAATTTTGCTAAGTGATTTTCTACTAATTTATATGTATATATATATATATATATATATATATATATATATATATATATATATATATATATATATATATATATATAGTAGAAAATAAAACTACGTGATTTTCACAACTTTAAGTTTCATGCCAGTGGCGGATTTAGTATAGGGCGTGGGGGGGCAAGCTGCCCCCCCCCCCACGCCCCTCTAGAACGGTCTAACGGCGCCCCCTAAAACAATCAAAATATATATATATATGATCAAATTACTGAAGGCAACCCCGGTCGCCCCTATTTATTGACTTGGCCCCCCCGCGACACTAAACCTCAATCCGCCACTGTTTCATGCTGTTGCAATCATCTACATTTTTTTGTTTCATTGTTGTAGGCGGGGCTTTTTTTATGATAGACCAAGTTAATTCTGGTGTTTCTTTCAGTTTTTCTCTAGTTTCCCATATATGTTTTGAGAAAGTGGTTGCATTTGAAAGTTTCTTATTTGAAAATGATTGCTTGTGGTTTGCATACCTCATTGTATATATATATGTATATATATATATATATATATATATATATATATATATATATATATATATATATATATATATATATATATATATATATATATATATATATATATATATATATATATATATATATATATATATATATATATATAAATTGCAAAAAAAATGTCATAAAAAATGACCTTTTTAATTTTTAGTTAAAAATTGTAGTTTTTTGTATATAAAACTTAAGCAATTCATTTTTATTTAAAATCATTATTTCTAAAATTTCTATGAAATTCTGGTTCTTTTGAGACCCAGGTTGATATACTTTTAAAGAAAAAAAATTTACGGATATATTGGAGCCAGTTTGTAATCATGGGTCATGGTGGGTGACCTTTTTCAATTATATATATATATATATATATATATATATATATATATATATATATATATATATATATATATATATATATATATATATATATATATATATATATATATATATATATATACATATATATATATATATATATATATATATATATATATATATATATATATGTATGTATGTATGTATGTATGTATTGTGTATATATATATATGTATGTATGTATGTATTATGTGTATATATATATATATATGTATATATTAACATCATTCTCGTGTAGGAGCCTAATATCATTGTGTGATTTTTGGTAGAATACTGGAATAACATCAAAGATTTCGAAAAAATCTATCAAACTTATTGTTATTAAAAGTTTAAAGAGAACATTTTTTGTACAGTTATAAAAATATTTTTAAAGTTTTTCTTAACAAGGCTGTTTAAAAACCAAATTGTTTTTTTAGGTATTTTATAACGTATTTTATAAGTTTATTTTGTGTAATTTATTTGTAAACGGTTGTTGTTTTTTTTAAAAATGGTTACGATGAAAAAATAAATTTAAAGAAAGTTCCTTTGGTAACTCTATTTATTTGCAGTTTATGATAATTTATCCGTTTAAGAATTAAAAATAGTTGAAAATTAAGCTCATATGATGCAGTATATGCCCTGTTTAAGTGCGACTTTCATAGGTCTTTGTCAGCATTCAGGGTTTTGGACAAAAACATCCTTTACCAAGATAGTGATGTACTATACAACTATACTATTTAACAAACTCTGTAAATAAAAATAGGTAAGTATTATTTGTATTCCTATACTCTAGAGTAAACCTGCCCTCCCCTTCAATCAAGGCTAAATTAATGGTATTTTCACCCATCCCAATAATTACAACAAGCCAATCTATGAATTTTTACTGCCTTGTTTTTCTCTAACTACTCAACACCGGTTCCCTCAATTGGGCAGGGCAAAGTAAAAAAAATTTATTAACTTAAATTTTAAAAAATTCACGTTAGCGATAGTAAAATTAAACTAGATCAAAATCTAAAATTGTTCAGATCTAAAAAGTAAAAAGTGCAGAAGTGCAGAGAAAATAATAATATAGAAAGTAAGAAAGTGCAGAAGTAGTAAATTAGACTAAAAACTAAACTTGAATTGTAATTATGACAACTCAGCAAACATTTTATAGCAGAATTTCAGTGGATTTTAAACTTATCTCTTTGTCTAGTTTGGATCCATAAGTCATATAATAGCTGTTCTAAACTATAAAAAGACACTAAAAAAGTAACGATAAAAAATTGTTCAAAAAATATTTCGAAAGGTTTAGTTGTTGCAGATCTATATAAAAACTTACGCTTATACATAGACTTTTATTTGTCAAATAATTATAAATTTGCATATAATATAGAAACAAACAAAAAACAAAAAAAAATGATGTTCTCAAAGCAATCGCCATCGGCCAATTGTTACCAAGACTGATGCCGAAGCCTTGGCTGAATAGTTGATGCATCGATGCATCCCTACTATATAAACATTTTAGGCGGTCTAGTATTGCTCATCGGTTACTTAGGGGATCATTAGTGGCAGCAGCCAGAAGTAGCTAGCGCTGGCTGAAATACCAGTAATATTTTTTTGCATTTAATCTAGTGGATTAATCTGGCGGTTTTTTGCATTTAATCTGATGTTTTGAAATTTATATCAGTTTTATAATGCGTGAATTGAGCATTTTAATATATTTTAACTGATAATGGGCGTGATATAGTTTAAACGTATTGTTTAAATTAAATGATTTTAACAAAAATTTAAAAATTGCCTTATTTATTAGAATATTTACAGAACATTTATTTTGTGCTGAATAGAAACTTTGGTGATTTTTTTTATTATAAATGAAATAAATACTTAGGAAAATTTTTCTCTCTATAATCTTTTGAAACATAGAATTTCTATAAAATGTCTATTAATTTCTAGAGAAATTGCTTTAAAACTTTTTTTCTATAGCAAAAAAAGAAATTAACAAAGGTTCTATAGAATTCTGTAGAATTTCTATAAGCCATGTGTTTATAGAAATTCTATAGAACTTTTTTCCTGGGTAGTCAACCATGAAATGTCAAATGAAATAAATTGTATATCATATTTTTTAGTTATTTTGTTGTTTGATATAATTTACTATTTACACAAGTTTGCATAAATAAATTTTGAACAATTACGACTTTTTAGTCTCCAAATAATGTAATTTCCATTAATATATTGCGTAATAAAAAATTTGCAATGTTCAGTAATATGCTTACAACCGTTCCTCATTCGTTCTATTTGTCCACTAATATTCTTGCTATTTGTCCACTAATATTCTTGATTTTTAAGAGTCTCTTCCCAAGAATTTAAAAACTTGAGTACCGGAATAAGTAGAGCATCGGGAAAATTTGAGTACCGGGGTTAAAAACAAATATCAATAGCGATAGTTATCATGGAAATCTGCAAATAAATGATGAAAGTTAACGTTGTCCATCACCAAAGTAAACTATTCTTCCTCCCCGAAATCCCTTTAAATGTATTTTAGAGACGAATAAAGATATCTTCTGTCACATCTACACTATTTATTACTTCACTATGGACTATCTTCAAACAATTTAAAGGTATCATACTTGTAAAATAACTTGTAAGATAACATATCATACTTGTAAGATACAGGTGTTTATAATATACAATTTATCAATTGTATATTCAATCAACAGAAAACTTATAGCGCTTCTACATACTATCAAGATTTTTGAGAAAAGTATCTACATTTGTACAATTAAAACTAGTTGTTCGACTGAGATTGGTAGCTTCTGTAATGCAAGTAGATAACTTTTGTACGATTAAGTTTATCATGCATATTAGATGCTTGACAAAGATATGTTCTTACGCTTTAAAAAAAAAATATTTATGTTGTTTAAAATATAACCGATTGTAAAAAGTCTTTTTGTTAATCTTTATTTTAATGGTGTTCGTTTTGGTATTTTTTTACGGTAATAAAATTTATAATATATTATATACTTGCAAATACAAGTATATAATATATTATAAATTTAATGGTGTTTAAAATATTTAAATGTTCGTTTTTTAAAATTTCAAACAAAAGGAAATCAAGAGCAAAACCTTAGTGTACTTCACATTTGGCTTTTTTCTAAAGTCTTATTTCAAATGTATTGATAGATGATAGGTGATAGGTGTTGATAAATTGTACAGGTGTTTACTTTATATTAGTATAAATTACTATTTGTAAATATCCTTGATGTAACAACTTTATTCAGAATATATTTGATTTGATTTGATTTGATAACCGTGATATTATTTCTAAATTGTTCTAACATAAACTCTTGATAGCAATACACCATGATTTGAGGTCGTTCTTCATAGACTGTATCCGTGGTTTCTTATCATTTAAAAATAATATAACTTTTATTTAAAAATAAAACTTTCATTTCAATTAATAGAGGCTTGGCATGAGTAAATCGATCCTTAAAATTAATAAGGCGTGCAACATGTTTTTGTTGACGATAAAGAGGTTCCAGTTTACTTTTATTAGTACTATCCCACGCAATGTTCGCATAGTTTATGTGACAATGAATGAGCGAATAATATAGTTCAAGTAATGTATATTTATTTTAAAAACTCCTTGTTTTGTGTAAAGTTCCTATGCTTTTTGATATTTTACTACTCAAATTTTTAATGTGACTTTTCCATGACAAATTTTCATCAATATAAATACTAAGAAAGTTGGTAACTGTTACTCGGTGTAGTTAAGGCGATTTACAAAATATTTGAATACTTTTATTTGGAATTAGCATGGTTTTGTCAGCATATTATGCCCAAACAAGATTTTTAAATGTTATAATTTTTTTTTACTTAAGGTTTTTATAATATTTAAAGAAACTTTACTTTGTTATATATAATTTTCAAAATCTTTTTACTACCTGTAATAATGTATCTTTTTTTTTTTTTTTTTTTTTTAACATGTTTATTTTACAACTACAAAGTATTTACAATTGACCAATCACCGATTGGCGAATAAAGACATACAAATGTAAATATCGTAAACATAAAGTCCAAAATAAATACGGGATAAATCTAAAATATTGTTACATTCAACTTCGAGACATGATAAAAATAAATACAAAGTACACAATAGAATAACGTGAACGTAAAAATTACCCAAGAAATAAACCTTCTATATTCTTTCAATTAAAATAATATATATATATATATATATATATATATATATACATACATATATATATATATATATATATATATATATATATATATATATATATATATATATATATATATATATATATATATATATATATATATATATAAGTATGATAAAAACAAGATTTGTATAAGATTGAAGAAAATAATTAATTGTTTGTAGTTATAGAAAGCTCGCAGAAGACTGGGGTCTTTCTTGTCATCGAGTACCTTCTAGACGTGTAATACACATAAAAATCAGTTGCATACGTGGTAAATATGTATGTGGTACATATATGCCTTAAAATTATTAATGTTACTATCTCCTTTTAGTATTATTTTTGTTGTTTCCTTTGAAAAGTTACATTTTTTGTTTTATCAGGGTTGTTTTATAGTATTTTTATTTTCAAATTTTAAATTGGAGTTTAAAAAAACTCCTTGAAGTTGTTTAACTTGATTATTGTAGATTTTAACTTTGTTTTCAGGAACTGTTCGTTGTTTAAATTTATTAGCGATTGGTTTCTAGAAATTATTTTGTTAAATAAATAGGGACCACGATGTTTTATTGAAAATTTCGAGAGTTTAGTTTTTTCAAAGAGTATCTTAAAGAACATTATTGTGGAGTCTTTAGATCATTTCTGCTCATCGGCATTAACATGAATTTAGTTAAAATCTTTTAAAAAAGTTTCTTAATTTACTACTGATCCTAGTTCTAATCGGTTCTGACTTATATTAATTATATATAGTTGTCAAAACACAATATTTCTATCAATTTTCACAAAAAATACTGGAAAGAAAAAGCTTATATTTATAAAAAATTGCCATTAACCGATCAGAACAGATCATATTGTTAAACTATAATGTTCATTTCACCTAAAAAACGTATTAATATAAAATCTTATTTAAATTTGGACGAGTTATTGTGATTTTATGATGATTTTTTTTTTAAATAATATTCCACGGTCTGGGTTTTTTCGCTACAAACAACATCTTCCCTGATTGATAATATAATTACAACGGATTTATTTAACGAATCTCTTAAAAAAAAGCCTAATTAAA